GTTTCCATTTTTAACATCGGTTTGACAAATCCTGATTCTGGGATCAAGCTATTAGACCGCTTATTACTTTCATATGGCTTAGATAGTTCAGTGTTTAGCTCGCTAACGTGCGTGACAGCTTTGAGCCTACTTTCATTTAAGACTATCATATCTTCTGACTTGGTTGCGCAAGGAATCTCCTCCGCGGCATAACTCGAATCCAGTACGTTAGTGTCATCGAGGTCAGCATTATGGGGTAAACTTGGGTACAAACATCGGTTTTTAAAGGCAACTGTTCACAACTGTGCTCACACGATTTGCTGAAATAGTTCTATTTTTCAGGACCTCTGTTTTCATTGGATTCCGGTCCGCTCTAATCAATGCAGATTTGAATTCAGTATTAGTTACAATTAGATTCCGGTTATTAATGAATTACCAAGCAACCTCAGAGGTGTTGAACTTCAGCAATATCGGACAAGTGTTTTTGTATGAATTCTTCTGCGTCACATAAGAAAATAGCCGATAGAATTTCGTGCTTTAATTTATCCGTCCGGTACCTATCCGGAATATTAAAAATGACAACGTTCTTAGAACGTGTACGCCTTTCGTGAACTTCAGTGGCAATAGTAGCTATGAAGTTACCGGCTCTATCCAAATGTTCAGTGCATTGGGTTTGGAGCGGGTCCAGAATGTACGTTAGTGGCGTTGGCTGTCATATGCTTGATTCCCTAGCATTCATTTGGGTCTTGAGGTCTCTTAACTCTAATCCAATAGATGATGTTTTACTGGATACCTCAATTACTGGATCTACCTTCTGAGCTTGTCTTGTCTGCGGTGTTTTCTCCGCAACCGGTAAGGTTTGTGCCTTTTGTCTCGCAGCTGATCTCGGCTTAATTGCCGAGACTTTTGCAGTCATTGTGGCTTGCACCAATTCCAAAAGGGGATTGTATTAAAAAATGGAGAGTTTAGGATCTAGATGTCTCACTTATCTACGTTTCCACTAGCTCAGAATGAGATAATTCTGTTGATATATGTGATCACGGTCAGTAATTGGGCTGCAAACTATGAATGACCGCAGCCGGTGGTGAAATGGTGTAAAGATTCCACAACAACATGATGGAATAAAGCAACCATTGTTGTTTACATTACGACAGGGTAGCAAGAGGACAGAGATACTAACGCACCGTGTATTGCTTCACGTCACTGTTGCGTTGTGATCGGCACTGCTTTGTGATCAGATGTTTGCGTCCGTCACTCCAGAGGGGTTAGACGTGTCGCGTTCAGATGAGTCACACTTTCCTAGGGTAATTAGGCAACGGGCGTGTTATCGACCCGGCCGGCGGCGGGCAGTCGTCGCTTTTCAGGGTAGGATGAAGGCAGAGCAAAATGACTTGGAATGTACTATCTAATGGTGACAGTGGCTGTCCCGAGGGCGGACCCAGTTGCCAACTATCGCTTTGTGCAGCGACTAGACGGAACGGTAGTAAGATCTTAGGATGACGCTCAAAATGCTTTTTAAAATAAGACCACAAGAGTTCTTGTAGGACAAGAAGAGGGATAAATTCACCAATTAGATCCAAGCACGGATGAATTCGAAATTGCAAAAGCACACTTTATTTGTGATCCGCGAATGAGAGATCCAAAAGATAAACAACAATAGAAGGAGCTCGCAAATCCAAATCGAATGCTAGTACCTAGGTCCCTGTGAAGGTAAATCGGATGATTTAATGGTGAATAACGCAGGAGGAAGCTTTTTTGCAACCGCTCGGTAGACGTGGATCACTTCATCTACCTTAGCAGCTGTATCAGCAATGATGGGCTAAAGTCAGTTCACGCACTGCAAAAGCTAGAACGGTCTTTTTGAGCTTGCGACATCTTTGGCATCAGAAATGGTTTCCTTCCCTTTGAAAAGCCGTGTATACAATGCCACATCGGGGGCCTTCCTAATTTGTGGATGCGAGACAGGCCTTCCCATCTGAGGACCCGCGGGACCTAGAAGTTTTTGATCATCGTTGTCTGCGGAGCATTGCTGGTGTCGGATGGCACCAGCGTATCCGCAACGATGATGTGCGTAACCAGGCTATTTCTTTAGAACAGCAGATAGCACTGACTAACTTGTGTTGGCTTTTGCACGTTCTGGGTATGCCTGGTCACGGGTTACCGAGGAGGGCCTTGTTTTGTCCGCAAGATGTAGGGTGGAGCAAGGCCCGAGATGGGCAGGAATTAACTTGGCAGCGGGAAATGAAGTCACTGACGACCAAACTCCATGCGGTCGGTCCGCCTCGCCTTCCAAGCTGGAGTCCATGTAACTGCCTTGTGCTTGGCTTGTGACGTTGCAGGACTTAGCTCGCATTCGACACCAGTGCCGTGTCTGCTGCCGTCTCCTGGTCAGATTGCTTGTTTAAGGTCTGTTTGGTGCTGAGTTAACTGCCGGGTAATGGCTGATTATGACGCGGAGCAGTTAAAGCCGAAAGGAAGCTGCCTCGCCGATTCCACCTTAACTTTGCACGATAGTCAATTGTTTGTAACGGTATGTTGTTAACACAAGGTGTAGATGCCTTGACCTTGAATGTTTGCTTGGGGCCTTAAGGTTTTCAGATAAGTCCCCCTTCTCTCCCTCTTCTTGTTCTTTATTTCGTAGGTGCTCATGGTTGTATGACAGCGAAGCCTCAGTTCAAATGGCTGATGTACTGCTGTTGATGATGTGGCTCTTCAATTCCTTCGCTCAGATTTGCCATTGTAGGAATCAAATTACTCATCTGCCGGTTCGCATCATACTAGTGATGGTCAGTATATTTTATGGCACCAGTGCGGGTGCTGTATAGCAAACCACTACGAACTCGCTGCTTAGCGTCACGCTATCTTTTCGACCCCGTCTTGTCAATTGCACATCGATGGTTTTTCTGGAAAATACTGCTCACCATCGATATTTGCTTTGGGTTGTTTCATAGCGGCCACCGGATCAGCACCATGCATGCGGCGCTGATTGCTGATGTCATTAGTCCTGAAAATCGCCAGCGTATTTTATTAGCACGTTCACTTAGAGACGAAACTTGGATTTTTGCCGGGGTTTGATTATTGCTTTTGTTGGCCAAATAAATTGAGGGGAACCATCGAGACTGTGATCCTGTCTTGGCTGTGTCATCTGTCCTTTTTAAAATTCCTTGCGACTCATTGGCCTCATGAAAGTCAACGTCTACGGTTTCAATGGTCAGGTGTTGTCACCGACTCACTCGAAGCCAGATGCACAGCTTTAGCGGACCCACTGTGACAAATCGAGTCTTGAATAATGCTGTGCGTAGTTTTGTTCCTACCCGATTCGCTTATGCGTTCTGCCTGGGTCTCCTGTCTTTTCAGTTTAATCGATTGGTTAGATTGGATATCGCTTGCCGCCTAACCTCCATTCCAATTCTCACACCTGTAGCTTTGATGTTACTGCGACTATCCTTTTCTCTTCACTAGTTACAAATTTCATACCATGCTAGTGGATATATATAACACCCTGTGTCTCTTAACCGTCTGAATCTAGTTGACTCAGTCATCATCATTAATACACGTTAGCTAAGGGTGCGAAACACTCCTCAGCTAATGTGGCGCTATTAAACATTACGAAATAGAAAAACTAAAGAAGTAAAATAATGCAGGGAACCATACAATGCATCTGATATGAGATCATGGTTGTAGGGGGAAGCTAAGGAAGGAGGGCAAAGAAACTCACAACACAAACGCCATTGAAGTCGGTTCTTCGCCACCTCAACTAGTGTATCCAAGCAAATGCGTTCATCGTCCCTCAGACCCCAGCCAGGGAGTCGGGACACACCAACCGACGCCGAATTCGAAGTGACGGAATGCGTTCCTCTTGACCAAGTTGAGTCCGCAGTACGACCCGTAGAATTTGTGATTGTAGCTGGTGGTTCTGGTGAACCAAATCAATGCGGAACTGTTGGACGGGATGCCAATAGAACAGCCGGCACGAACTGCCAACCAGCGCACGGACAAGGGAAGTACGATAGCTTTCATACTGCTCAGCACGAGCGAAGAGCACCGTGATCGCACGGCTTGCAGTTGCGACTGACGAAGTGGGTCAACGGAGCCAACGCCAGATAAGTGTACAGAAAACTAATCGTGTGTCACACCCTAGGTGGATATGGTTGCACCTGCCGGATAGACAGCGCAGAATTGACGCGTATTAGTCTGAACTAAGTCCAATGTGGACACTGACACGACAGGCGTGTATTAGACCGACCACAGCGAACGAGCGGCACGTGCGCGCCATAAAACTAGCAAACGATACAGAAGGCGAAAGCTGGATCTACTCCGTAGGAAGCTACCACATTGAAATAGCACTTCGGATTTATGTCCAGTATAAATGATCCTATGCTCTACACATAATGGATTTCGGTTGTTGTACAGAGTTTGCTTTGACTCTCGGTGAGCTCATCGGTAATCGCCTTTTCCATTCGCAGTTGTGGTCCGTCTTTTCCTATTTCATCGATTTCAAACTTGTGGATGAGCTGGAGGTCTTTCATTTGCTATCCTATTCGGCTGAAAAGTACATTAACTAACTTAATCGGCGAACTGTGGTTAAGACAAATCCACTGCCTCTAACATTTGTGCAGCGCGTTGCTGCGCTTCGCATTAGATTGCTTCAACAAATGATCTGGCACGCATATAAGTTCATTGTTTTGAACACACTTGTCTTGCTTGGGTATATGATGACCTACATTGCATTATGGTCAACTAATCCCAGCCATTTTCACCCAACCTTTTAACTAACTTCAGCCATCCGCCCGACTGATCACGCATCCTGCTAGTTTTTGCGTCTTCCCCACCACAGTATTTCGTCCAAGCCGTTTTCACCATTTTCCATAGTTGCTACATGATTTCAACGGTTGAATGGAACTGTCTTGACACCTTTCAGATATGGTTCTTTGACACAATACCATATGGGAGTGACGATGTATTAGCTGTATAATACCATGTTTGTTACTAATTGCTTCTTCGGATCTTTTCTCTCATAGGTTGAATCCGACGCCACTCTCATACGTATGGGTAAGTGTTATCGCCGTGAATTTGTTGACATTAGCTGTCTTATTCCCTCTCGTATACGAAGAACTGCAATATATTTTTTGCTTTTTCTATGGAGGCAATTTACGTGTCTATCAGCGTCACGATTCGATTCCCTACTTCGCACAGTACCAGACCTAACGAAATGCCGAACGATTCAGGAAAAATAAAGCGTGTTTTATTTTCGCCTCGCATGGTGGGCTGTACTGTTTGCTGAACGAATCACTGCGGTTTAGTTCTTGGCTCTTCTATTGTTTTCAACTCCAAACAGTCTCTTGCTCTGACTCTTGACTACACTAGGGAATACGGATTCTGTGTTTTTTAGTTTTACAAAACAACCTCCACCAGATCCAAGTAGACATCCACCGCACACCCAGGAAATCACCGGGCGGCGGTGTAACAGACTATGTCCTTCTGCACTCTTCTCTGTTCTTACACCTTTACTACTCGACTGAAAATGCGGCAACAGAAACTTTCACTACCGTTCTTTCTACTGCCACTCATATTATGTGTATCGGCGTTTTGAAGTATATCGTTTGTTTGAATACAGTTACAATGAACGCGGCGCATGTTGCATAACCTGCAAAGCGAACACGCTTCTTTTTGTAGTTTTTTCGTGATGTTTATTGGATGATTTCTTGAGGCGCGCGTTGCTACCATTTCCGCTCGAATACGTATGACCCCAACCTAACCTACATGACGTATGATGCACACCACTCATGTTGTCACGTCACGCTATCCAGAATGTTTGCTGCGATTACCCTTTCGCTTTTATCTATCCTTACTTTTCGTTTGATCAACTAAGTTTTATGTTTGATTTTTACTAAACATCTCTCATGGCTGCCACCCGATATATCTTTTGCTTATTTACTTTTCAATACCGCCATGCACCGAACTTCCTGCTGCTCACCTTGCAGGATTTCCTCATTCGAACACTGTTGATGTGGACGCCTTCTCCGTCAAGCGGTGCATGTGGTGAGTAGGATGTTCCACCATATCTAACTTCTGCCTAGGGATACCCGGTTTAGAGTTCACTTAGTGCACTCGTCGCGTAATGATCTCTGCGGCTATTTCCTTTATTACATTAGAATTGTTTTGTAACTCTAAGGGCTGATGGTGAGTCCTGTTTCTTGGAATGAATAACAAACTGAAACTAGGGGGTAGCGTTTTCAGCTTTGTGAACCGAATTCGCATGGCTTGACAGTGACCGGTTGATGCAGGCCACCTCCGAGTTCGCTTGCTGTATCGAAGCTCAACAAAAAGTTGTGCCTGCATGGTTGTGTATGATTGACTCGTGCTATATCACCCCGACCGCCATTCACACATGCCCTGTACAGTGTACAATTTAATGACTGGGTAACCCGAGCATTTCGGCGCTTCTTCATGCCTCCCCTAAGTACCTGAATCGCCATAGCATCCCCTCTCGGTTCTTATGTGGGATTAGCAAGCACGTAAGAAACGTGCATACAACAAGTATCTGGCTGCTTCAGAATCATTGCCCGGCACTCAGTCATTCATGTGAACTGGGACCAAGTACTTCCATTGGACTTCCACGATATGTTCATTTGCCAGCGATCCGCTGCATTGAGGTACTTGGCTGCATACCCATCGCTGCTATCTATTACAATCATCAGCGAGCAACCCTCTCAACGTTTCGGCATTCACACCGCGCCCAGCGATGTGTGTCAAGCCAACAGCATCACATGGGCACTGTTGTTGATGTTCAACTCAAGTCAAGATTAACTTTATACACCCATGTCGGAGCATTTTCGGTAGTTTACACTGCACTGCGATGTACTACAATCTGGCGTCTGTGAAACAACGGTGATGTGAAAAACAAAAAAGACTGCATTTTCACTCGAGCGATGGGTCTCGCAGCCGTTGGTCATTGCTTTTGGGTCAACCAGTAGGCGAAACATATGGGACAAGATATGGAGTTACGATACCATGAGGTATGAAGAAATAGAACTTCAGGTATCGACCACGTGGAAGAACTTGATGCCGTACTGGCTGGATGGATGTGTAAAGGGTGAAAGGAGTCCTGGGTGAAGGTTGAGGGCTGCGTCAAAATGCTTGTCAATGATCAAATCAACGTGGATTCCTTTTCTTTATCCAGAGCATTTGGAAATGGATTTTGAGATGTCCGGGGAAAACGAAATGGCAACGATACAACCAATGGGCAGAATGCATCCATTTATAAACCTTTGAATTAGTACTTGAGCTACGAGAACGTTTTGATCGTAAGGGCGTCTTCTGACTTTTTAAAGGTTCAGGCTTATGTATCGATCAAGCGAAGTTTTAAGACAATCAAACATCGGTATACTTCACGGTCGGTGGACGAGGATTCTTTGGTGACCCACAATTATAGAAATGGAGGTATATACAAGGGAACACAGCCTGTCAGCGTGGAGAAGAGAGAACATGGCATCACAATTCTTAGAAATGTTAAAGGAGAGAGCCATTGAATTTTCTCATGCTAAGAGCTGTCTAAACCTCGTTGAAGTTTCGACGAGTCCTCATTTCTTGGGGTTATGCACCCTATATGTCCGATGTAACTGTATGGTATTGACAAATATACAACGTAAATGGGAAATAGAAAGGGGGATAGCATAACCTCTTTCAGAACGCTACAATTGGCTCGGAGTTCGTGAGGAAGACACAATTTTTAGAATAATCACGCATGGCATTACATTCATACAGGGGAATACCATTTTCGAGTAAAACTTTCCATAATTACAGTCTGTTATGTCCCCTAAAGTAACAAGAGCCGCATAGTCTTGCCTTTCTATCCAAAGCAGATGCAGTGGCCTGTACAAAATACGAAGCGGCCTCCAGTGTAAAGCGCTCTGGCTTGTGTGCAAAATGTCAAATATCATCTGTATGATCGCTTGTAAACATTCTGGGGATTAGTAATTTTCCAAACACCTTCAACAGCATGGGATACATGCTATTAGCTGCTACTTCTGTGATTCCTCTTTAATCGCTGGTCTTCTTCTGGCTGGCTTACAAATGTCGGGGGTGGTGTCAGTCGTTAAACATCCATTGAAAATCTCTGTCAGAGACGACTGCACTACATCCGCATAATCTTTCAGAGCGATGGGTGACAGGGCATCAGGGCCACTGGCCCTGTTCGGCATCAGTCTTGTGACTTCGCTGTAAACACGAGTGTGGTCAAATAAGGCGGCGAGGTCGTTGATGGGAAAGGAAGACAGGGGAATGTGTTGGAAGATAAGGAGCTACCCACATTTTTGTCTGTGACTTGTTCCAAGAGCCTCTACCTATCACGACAACTGTGGTTTTCTATAGCAGTTTTAATGTACAGACAGTTTAACCTTCTTATCTTGTCTTTTATAATCGCAAATAGATATTTGCTACGAACACAGTTTATATATATCTATACCGTTCTGCTCTTTTCTCTCTTACGCAGTTGCTTGCTGTAGTGCAGATGGAAATCATCTATCAGTCCATGGGTACACACATGGTCTCACAATGGGGTATACCTCAGTGAAACATAAATTACTAGTGTCTGTTAAGTGCTCTTATTGAGCTGACAAATCCTCATTGGCGAAAATTGCTAACTCGTTTTATTAAAATACTTCCATTTGTGCTTTGCACGTTTTGGTCGAGGACTGCTTCGCCGTTTAATCGTGCTGAATGGATTTTTGTCCTTGCACAATGTACTTGACCCTACATTAAATCTTGGGACATGTCTTTGCGTGGAAACAGCTTTTGTTTGTTAGTACCTCCAGATGTGCATCGAGTCCGATGGTGAACCCCACCGTGTTGATTAAACTCAGCGAGTTAATGAAAACTGTATCCGTCTTATTGAAGTAACCAGAGATGAGATACCGATGGAGCACGCTAATGTCGGTTGCGAATCGAAGACAAAGTGATCCGCACACCTTTTTGTCTTTGATCGCGCGGCGTCAGGTAGTACATAAATGTTCACAACTACAGCAGTCAAAAAATCACTAAGAAAATTTGGTTTGCTTCCCAGCACATGGCTGGTTACTGAGGCCGTTGAGTAAGCGAACAGCTGTGAATTCGATCTACACGTTTTTGGTTAATGTACTTGGTCACACTTACGCGGTTCTGGAGCTTTCCCGGGGCAATCAGACCTAATATGTCGATGTCCATTGAGCTTATCGACTATCGGTATGTAGCGAACTGTCCCGTAACATCATTATAACTGTGATCGTACATTCTCTTCGTTATAAAGGGTTGTCGAGATTAATAATTTTCCTGAGAATAGACCACACATTGCTGGACAAGATCAGCGGAATCTATACCTTGTTAGCACCATAGTGTCTTAGCTCTAATTGCCATTTAGTATAGTTTCTTTTATTCTTCCTTATTTTTTATGAACAATTATTTTAAAATTGTTTCTTTGTGGTCGTATTCGACTGGAGTTCACTTTCTGACCACTACGCATCCGAATCAAACATTCACCTGAACAAATGATAAAATAATTTGTGAATAGGTAAAAACATCCGCAGCGGGCATCATAGGACAATACTCCAATGACAACGACAGCCGTCAAATTTGAAGGAGACCGAAAAGTAGCCGTTCACTATAACTCACCACCCGGACTGTGAATTGTCCCCGGGATCGGATACAGCAGTGGTCCTACAGTCTAGAGAGAATGGAGGCTCTAGCTTTCAACTTTTTGCTTCTCCCCATCTGACCTTTCTGACAGTTTTCTACTCTGCTTTTCACTTTATCTGTCCACTCATCGTTTTTTCCTCCTCCTCCTCCCGATAAGCTACCAATTTTCATTTTCATTGGAACCCAAATGAAAGCGACTGAATCCACTTCGCTCCGCTATCTCATTTCGCCATTGATTAAATGGACTGAATGCGTCGCTTGGAGGGATTCGGCTAGCTTTCGCGGCACACTGTCACCTATCCAATCACTCCAAGCACCTACCTTGTTGATCAAACGAAGCTTGACTTACTAGTCAGATAATGCAATGTCATTCCTTTGTGAACGTATTATCGAAGCATGGGCCTGTACTCCATCCCCGGTGTGTCCCTGTTTGTTTTTCAAGTACCTACTCACAAGCACGCCCCGGGTTCATTCAAGCTCGTTTATCTTTACCTGAAGGACAAGACTTGTCATAGTGTGCGATGCTGCAATCGAGTGATACTGTTGTTTTTGTGCGTTTTCCACCCTCACAATTAATGCGTTGTATAAACTGGAATGCAAATGGCCCAAATATCCGTATACTGCGGCCCTGTCTCACTTCACATCTCATGCACTTAACTAACTAGAAATGATCCTTGCGCTGATTTACGATCAAATATCATGTCTTGAGTGCACTTCCCCATACATGCTTTTTCATGTGAACTGTTTAGCTATCCCCATCCATCCATCGAGTGGTTTGTGTGTTCCGGTGCTGAAATGCTTCACAGTCAGTGTCCACGTTTTATGGCTTGTGTCGCTTATTGACTGACTATTCCAACACGTTAACCTACTCAGATTCACTGTAACAAAATTTTCTCATTCTCTGTAGGACTATCCCCGTGCCGTTTTGTCTTTTGCCGTATTCAGTCACCTAAAATCTCAGAACACACAAGCAGACTCGAACGCACAGACGCCAAGTCGCCCTCAATACGCATGTCCCCGTTGTCGTGCTGTTTGTTGTGAGCTACCGATGGAATGCACAGTTTGCGGTCTCACACTGGTAGCCGCTCCGCACTTGGCTCGCGCGTATCACCATCTATTTCCCCTGGACGCTTTCGAAATTACGAGCGTGTCCCAACTGGCTCCCGAAGGTGAACGGTTATATTGCTCCGGATGCGACGTTGAACTGCATGGTTCCATCCCGGTACGCCCTTTCTGTCCATTCGGATCAAACACGACTGTTAGTCATGCGTAGTGATTATTATCACATTGGTGTCCTCTGCATCCCAAGTCTCCCACACTGCATAGAAATTAGGGAGTAATTTAAGTGTTCTCTCTGTTCCGCAGCTGCTTACGACTACCTGCAGAGAGCCTGCAACATCATGCCGTTGCACCGTTTTCCATGAAGATGTATGCCGAATCGCAAACGCGGCATTATCGATCAGTCTTAACAGCATCACAAACCATATTTCTAGCTACGTTTCCAGCATTTTTTTCTTCATTGGTTGTTGCCTAGTGATAATATGCTTACTTCTTGGCGTTTGTAACTGGCATTACTGTTGGTATTTTAATGTAATGGGCAACCGTATGCTACGGGGGGCATTTAACCATTTCTTTCATTTTGCTTACACATAACTTACTTTCCGGTCACTATCGATTGCGCAGTGCTTCAAATTTGCTCTTGGAGACAAAAAAGATTTTGATCAGCCACTACCATCGCACATCGGCATTCAGCGATTTCTCAAAGTCATTGTGAGTTATCATGGTAGATGCGGAAATGCTCTCTTCCCTTATGAGTTTGTGATTACTGCTGCCGCCTCGTAGCCTTAAAGTTCACAGGCCTGCGATGATTCGGGTTCGAGCCTGCGTAGGGACCGGGTGACCCTCACAGTGTCCTTAGCTTACGTGCGACCGGTGGTGGTGGCGCGACAGCGAAGCGTCAGTACTGCGTACCGGCGAACTGCTGATACCTTTTTGTGATTACTGCTAAACTTGCGTATCACTGGTTTCAAATAGTCCCTGAACAGGAGACTTCATTTCTAAACCCATCACTCACCTATTGTTTCACCGCATTCCACTGCTGTTGCATCATCACATGCGCCTCTACATGGGTTATGTTTTTTTGTGGTAGGCTGTATAGAGCAACTTTCGCTAATATCTTATACCAAACAACTGGAATTCTCCAACTGTCATTGAGTAGACAAGTGTTAGCACTGACAAATTTCGTCTCCCTATCCATCATGTATCAAACACGATTGATCCGCTAACCCCATGACCTGACTGAGCTTCTCAAGCCTGCGACACCGTCAATTTTTTTCCCTGCTGACGCTGCGTAGGCGAATACTAGGTGATGATAATCATGCTAACTCCCTAGAACAACAGATAGCACTGAACAAGTTGTGTCGGTTTGGCCACGTGCTACGTATGCCTAGTCACCGCTTACCTAGGAGGGCCTTGTTTAGTCTGTCAGGTGTAGGGTGGCGCAAGACTCGAAGTGGACAGAAGTTGACTTGGCATCGGGAAATGTAGTCATTGACGACCAAACTAGGTACCATTGGTCAGTCTCGCCTTCCGGGCTGGAGTCCACGTGACTCGCCTTGTGCTTGGCTCGAGACTTTACAGGACATGGCTCGCAGTAGACACCAGTGGCGCATCTGCTGCCGTCTCCTAATCGGATTGCCTGTTTAAAGTGTGTTTGGTGCTGAGTTATCTGCGAGGTAATGGCTGATTATGACGTGTGGCAGTGAAAGCCGCAAGGAAGCTGTCTGGCCGATGCCGCCTTATCTTTGCACGATAGCCAGCTGTTTGTGACGGTATGTTGTCTACACAAGGTGTAGGCGCCTTGACCCTGAATGTTTGCTTAGGGCATTAAGGTTTTCAGGTAAGTCCCCCTTTTCTTCTTCTTCGTATTCTTTATTTCATAGGTGCTCATGGTTGTATAGCAGCGAAGCATCAGTTCAAATGGCTGATGTACTGCTGTTGATGATGATGATGATGACGCTGCGACCGTCGACTTTTTGCACTGGTTCGGTTGGCAGCATAGGCCGCGCATAAGCTCTTCTTGAACCGGCGATTGAATAAACACTCAGTGAGAGACGTTAGTTTGGTTGATTTTCAATAATCGGTTTTGCTCCTTGCACTCTGTCAGCTAAGTGCCGGCAGTTACGCCCGAACATACGGATATATATATATATATTTGCAAAAGTCTGTTAACAGACATAATGCCATCAGAAACCATGGGATTCAAACGAAGGTACACAAACAGTAAAATAAAACACAACACAACAATGTCCATGGTTCCCTCAGAGGGCGAGATACTACCCGGTTGCCCAAGCCGAAGTAGGGTGTTGACTTAGGGGACACCACCCCGAGCCTTTGGCTGAATAGCCTGCCCGCAAAGCAACGGAGCGAATTCAGGGAATCGCGCCCATTGGGAGCCGGTGACTGATTGCTCAGTTCATACGCCTTTTGTTTGTTCCTTTGTCAAACAGGGGCCCAATGCTCCCCAGAAGTACAGCATAAGGTTGCTGGAATACAATGCTTCGCCAGAATGAAGCAAGGGGCAGTGACTTTATTTAGTGGCGAGTCACATCCGCCACGTCACAGTGTTGTTAAACGGACATATGTGGCTTTTTATAGGGAGAACGCTTGCCAGGCGAAAACCCACCACGTCCTGGAACACTGCCGTCGAACCATTTGCTGGAACGGGAAAATCCCGAACCACCCAGCTGGCACCACGAGGAGGTTGTTCGGCAAGCCAGCCCGAACATACGGATGCGCCTCGCAATGTGATGAAATGCGGACTATTCGGCCTGTCGTTTATCTGAGGTATTCGTTGACACTGTCGGAGACACCAGACTGATTTGTTAGGAATACAGCCAAATCATTTCCGGATTCACTCGGCTGCACCTCTAAAGAAGATAAAGATAAAGATAATATTGCTCACCTTGCATGCGGAATCGCGTATCGATGAATAATTCATCGGAAGAAGTTCTGCCAGCGTTTTCTGTCCTCAAAAGGCTAGTGAACACATTGAAGGCGATCCTAATGATAACGAATTTCTTTCTTAAAGCTAGTGTTCTAGTACACACTTTCTAATGCTCCTTCATGAGGGGTCTACCATCAAAAGGACAAATGCATGATTTGTCAGCTAGCGTTTTAGCGGACTCTGTGTGGTTTCAACTTAATCATATTCGAGGGATCGAAATACACGTGGCCTGGCAATGAAATCCTAATGTCAGGTACCTGTTATCTGCACAGAATATTTACGGATTATACGGCTACATTTCGGTCACCATGTTTTTGTGGTTCTGTGCTACTGTGCTATACACTTTCGGTCTGTTTTCATAGGTGATGTTCAGTGTTGCCCGTCTTTATCTGCTGGCTTTCCACAGTCATCAGATTTGATTGATTGGATTGGATTTGAATTCTCGTATATTTTTGTTCTAAAGAAGCCATATGTGGTATTTAGTCTTATATACTAACTTATGTAGTGCCGATGGAATGATATCTGGTGCTCCTCCTTACAACTGTGTAGTCTAGGACCTGTCTGTTTTTGAAAGCTTGCACGATAATCGCTGCTAACGCTCTTGTATGCTATGATTCCTTCGAACTTTGAGGCACATGGTGTTGAGCAAAAATATTGTACCTCTATTTCAGGCAACGCGATTACACTGATCTTGCAACCGAACGGGGGGCGGGCCATGTAGTTTCTCGGAGAGACTTTCTGATGCCTTTTTTGGCATTACTACCAAGTGTTAAAATCGCATTTCTGTCAGCCCCGGTCTGGAGACCGGTGCGTTAGTTCTACAGCCGGTATTACCAACTGAATGTTTGGCTGTAGTTCTCCAGCGACTTACTTGCTCTGAGTATTTAAAACTATTGCGTTCCTTTTAGACTATGATCCACAGTGCTCATCTTGCATGCAATTGTTGCCTTCTCAAGCACACTAGGGGACTCTGTGATGTATCACACCCTTAAGCAACGGTCCAAAATTTTTCTATAAACGCCTATTCAGGGTTCACTCCTTTGCTTATTCGGTGAGCGTAAATTTTGTTCATTTAGTAGGAGATTGTTGTGTCAAAATGTAGCCATCGCTGTCTTTCGTCAAAAACGATGAAAGGTCGTTCGCCGTTCCAGATAGCTTCTCATACATTCGGTAGCTGTTCCCACCATTTTGATCACCTATTTTTACCAGTTGTGTTGGTCACCCCAGGTGAGAAAACACCCATCTATCTTTGGTATTTTCAGATCCAGAGACTAATTTTAAGGATCAGTTCTGGTTGAGGGATCCTACCGATCGCTTTGCGCATGACGAGGTGGACAATTACCACCGGTGCATTATCTACCTCATCAAACTAATGAGATTAGTAGGTCGTACGTATGCTGCGGTTTAGAAACCCATGCTGTGCATCGTTGATCCGCTGTCCTGATGCTAGGATTGTAAACGAACCCTGTCTTTTGACTCTTCGTCCATCTAATTATAATTTCTTACTTTATAGGAGGAGTCACTTTTTGTGACTCGGTAAAACTGCAGACACTTCTTATCGGTCAAGAATCCCGTTGGATTTAAATGCGCAGGTTAAAGAGGTTCCAAACATGTGTGCAACTTCGAACTTTGTGATTATAGGCTGGTCTTCTCAGGACGTACGGCTATGTGTTGATTTGATAGTATCTGTTGAAAATCCGAATGCACCAGGTGAACGGATGTCATTTGCGCAACATTGGCCTGCAGCAAAGAGAGTACGTCTCTCCGATCAAATAGTTCTTACATTTGGCTTGTAACCCACGGATTAGCACTTCAGACGCGCATGAATGTGGACGCCTGCGCGTTATCCCATCTCCCGTGTAACTGCTAGTGCGTACTTGGCAACGAAGTGTCGGTGCGAGCTCTCCATCATCATCATTATACACATCAGCTAGAGGTGGGAAAACACCTCCGCTATTGTGCCGCAATACATGAAGGAAATACATACATACATACATATAATACAATACACAAAGGAAAAATAGATACAACAGTTCCATGCCAGCTGAGCTACCAGCAACGGAAAGGCATCGTTCCGGTAAGCTACCAGCCAGCTACTAGGCAAAAAGAAAAAAATTTATTATGTTTTACCCTACGAAATGAGATCTTCGATGGAGGGGGAGGCTAAAAGGGATGGGAAGGGGCAAAGAAACTCACAGCACAAACGCCACTGAGGTCGGCTCCTTGCCATATCAGCAAGTGTATCCAGCCAAACGTGTTCACCGTCTTTTGGACCCCAACCAGGGAGCCGAGACGTTCCAACCGAGGCTAGCTCAGAAGTGAGGGACTTCATTCCCCTGGACCAAGTCATCGCTTGGCCACCTCTCCTCTTCTTCCATCCACATCCCAGGTGAGCAAACAACGCACGTCGCGGAAGTCGATAAACTGGCATGCGCAACACGTGGCCGAGCCATCGGAGCCTGGTGCGGGAAATAACGGTGCTGAGCGGTTCATTTCCTTTTCCTGTGCCATAAACAAGGCGTCGAACACGCTCGTTACTCACGCGGTGTTCCCACCAAATGTGAGCCAAACTGCGAAGGCACCGATGGTCGAACGTAACTAGCCTCTTCATGTCCGCCGAGCTCTCCACGTACTGTTGGTACCCGTTATCGGTTGAATGAATAAATAAATAAGCTTATTTCCTAACAGGACGGACACGCTTCCGTTTGGGGAACCATCATGTGCACAGCAAGTCTCCTCAGCATTTCATTTGTTAACTTTAAATTCAATATGAATCAATAATGCAGTGGTTGGTGTAATGGGCACTAAGCAATAGATTATTGGAAAGAGTCGTCTTACATGTTGTTGGGGACGGATTCCATGAATGCACTCGTAGATTGCTGTAGGCGAAAAAGTGTGACCACATATGGCATGACAAGTTTTAGGCGTGATCTAAAGGTTGACTGCCCTTACTTGCAGCGCTAACTTATTTCCTAGATATGCATACCTCGCTAGAAGGACGTTTAAGCGAATGTTTTGATTGGTCTTTTGTAGGGCTTCCCATTGTAAAATGACAGACATGTTGACTGACAAGACTCGCAAGTCTATGCAACTGTAGGGAAGAGTGAGGTTGCTATTCCGTCGTCGATGCCAGAAGGGGTCAAGCTGGAGGCAGCAACTTTGTTTTTCTTAGTTAAATGTTGTTGAATGCCCCCAGGATCATTTTGGTGAATGGGCGCTTTACGCATTACACGATACTCCTTTGTATTATGTTGTGAACTATTATGGTGTAGGTTGCACTCTGAGTTTGGATCATTCAAACCGCATTTTCTATAACCTAAATGGTCTAATGATGTGATACATAATCTCGCTACTTGAAGTGGGTTATGTTCAGAAAAGTTGAGGCTGTTAGCCTTCTGAATTCTTAGGTCTCGAACGGTATGAGGTTGGGGTGGGGACACTAGTAAGAGGGATGGAGCCTTGTGATACACCACATCTCTGATATATGGGATTTGTCTGCTAAAAACCTCATAGACCTGAGTTCACTCTATTTGTTCAAGGATCTTCGCGTATAGTATTTGAGCATAGCTCTAGATGGTTAGATGCAATGAAGTACGCTATTTTGACATCTGAAGCAGTTAAATCCCTCCCGCACTTTAAGTAACGCGAGTAAAAGACGAAAACGGGCAAATGTTAGCATTTCGTATTGTTTCATCAGTGCCAGTACAATACAGAGAACATGTTTATGATCGGATAAGATACAGAGTACAGGGCAGATTTGGTACCCCTACCTTTAGTGGAGCGTTAGACTTACGAACAGCTGTTTTTGCACACTGTGTGCCAGCTTGATCCAACTGAGCGCGACAGCCTCGGCAATATTTTGATATCGTTCACAAATAATGATGGGTGCCCATGTCTAATGTACTCACATACATGGAAACGAGGAAAAGCATTAGACCCAATACACTCCCCTCAACGACACCACTAGTGAGTTATCTGGGAACAGAACAGTGTTGACCTCTCTTCTTTCGTGTTCGATTGTTTAGGTAAGAGTCGAACCAGCTCAGTAGGGCGGTGCCGATCAGATAAAGAGAATAAAGCACCTACAGTACGCCGGCGTGCATTGCCGACACTTCGCTGCCTCGCAACCACCACTAGTCACACGTGGGCTACGGATACTGCGAAAGTCGCCCGGTCCCTACACAGGCTCGAACCCGCGCCATCGGATTACAAGGTAGGCTTGTGATTCCTAAGGCTACGGGTCGACATTCCCATAGGATTCAAGTACGGCCGACAGCGGTTTGTGCGCTACGCAATCAAACAATTTGCATATTTAGAAGGAGGCTGATTATCACTAAGCCACCGTTGATTGTTGATGTAACAAACTTGGCATGGGACACAAGAGCGTCTCGCAACAAACCAATATTGGTACTGTTGATCAAGTTTAGTCTTGATGTTTCTTCCTAAGGCCTTGGCGGCGGCGGAGGTATGGTTTATCGGCCGACAGTTTGACATCTGATCTCGTGGACCGCTTTTGTGTTTCGGAATAATTACAGAATTCCCCCATTGGGACGGGGAGCACTGAGTGATTAATGACTATGTAAAGATGCTCAACAGGAGGAAGGGTTTCCTTTTCGCCACTTAGCCTTATATCTGAAGCAAGAATACCATCAGGTCCCGGTCGAACTGTCGTTTCGATAGATGTGATATTCGTATGTATGTCTTTCAGCCTCAAAGGCATGTCACAGATTATCTATTTCGTTCTTGGGGATAGAAGACAAAATGCGACTGATGCGGTATTGAATGAGGCCGCGAAGTAGGATTTCAAGGAATCATATCTTTGGGCTATATCATCCGTTACCATACCAACGTCCAAAAGCAGGGTCGGACTTTCATGGTGCTTTTTTTATTCCTTCCTTTAAGCAATTGCATCAGCGTTCGAGCTCTTTCTGAGTCTGTTTTTGCTGCTGAGTTTTCTTCGGCTATCATAAGCTATTGGACTTGGTGTTTAAGCTTCAGTACAATTTACATGTTTCAATTAATACAAGGTCGTTTTTTGCGATGCAGTGATCTCAATTTATTTAATTTGGAAGCGGCTTTTGCGCAGTGCTTGTCTCGGCCGTTGACAAATCTGTTTTTACTTTTAACGTAAGCACTAGAATACATGTGATATTCTTTTTCGCGAACTCGCTTGCGACTATGGTCGAATCAGCTATGAAGAAGCATCGGTTTAAACATATGCTCCTAAGCAGATTGTTAAATGTGCTCCAATCAGTAACGTGTGTTTTTTTGGGGGGGGGCTGATTTCCCTATTACTCTAGAGTCGGATAGCTTGATATTCGTACTGCGGAGCACTGTATTATGGTCACAGTCTGTTAACGGGTCATTAAATGATATGTGAGCAGATGAAATACACACGGCGAATCCAACCACTGATACGAACATGTTGGATTACTTCCGCAAGTTCGCCTATACGATATCCACTACGACATACGGCCTTATCCCCTAGCCTCAGCGAGAACTTGTGTGATTTTACTTCAACCACCATACCCTGTTTTTGATTTTGTGAATGTTTCCACCATTGAAGGCAGTGAATCTGTAATCCACGTCGCAGAAATCGGACACTAATTTTCGTGGGTTGAATCTCTCATCGAGCTCAGTAATTTAGTGGCAGACGTTTCATCACCGATCTGATACCTGTACATGACAATGGTTCCTAGCTGGATGGGACTTTGGGTCCATCTGATGACCAGCTTAACTCTCATATAACCAACCTTAGCCACTGGTATTTTGCGCTACTTGGCTCTCTCTAGTCTTGATCTTCGCTCGCTTAGATTTTTCAGACAAACGCCTAGGTATTTCTGCCTGTCACCCGCAAAACAGCCATTTTCTGCCCATGTTTTTTTCAGGTGCGCTGCTCACCTAGTGGTAGTCAGGTCAGCGCTCACCCCGTTCTGAGATAGCCACTGCATTCAAGGCCTAAACGTGTGTCCTTAATCTTCAACTGAACGGCAGTTTACACACACACACACACACACACGTACGAACACGTCCATTCACGTACACTGCAGCAGCTGCCATTGTTTGAAGCTACACATGCGATCGATTGATAGTGCCATCACCATTGTTTGCCGTGTACCTTGTTCTTCTTAGATGTGTCCTAGATCAACGTTTTGACTTCTGCCTCAACACGCTCTCTATCTCATCACTTGTTCCATCCAGATCTCGTGCTGCTCAAAATGCCGTTCCGCGTTCTGCAATTTTTGTGATGCCATCCTGCACGATTCGGTTCACTCCTGTCCCGTTTGTGTCTCAAAGACGTTGCAATAGAGTACCCTAATTCCCATATTTATTTTAATATCCGCTCCACGTCTGATTGAGTAATAAAATCTGTACAGACTGTCTTCGCTCTTAGTGAACCAAGGCTGACATGGTTTCAATTCCAGGGCATTCAGATGTTTGGTTTTTCTTCTACTTGTCCTCCTAACCTTTACCTACAATGGCATACGCAACTGTCGCTCAAAGGCACGAGTTTTAGACGTTAACGTTCCATTCTGTTCTCCTTCCCCTCGCTCGGGCTTGTGCCCTATCACTTCGAGCTGCTAATATAATTATCATTCTCTCCCACATTGTTATCGGCATGCACCCTTGAATTTGTTTGGGCCGACTGAAAGAAAACTGTTTCTTGCTGCTTCAGGCACAGTCGTGTGCTTATTTTGACTTGACTTAATCGCCTACTGAATATCGCTTGCTCAATTCAATGGATCCGTCCTTGTACTGAGAATACTGAAAACTAAACTCCCCTGTTCCCGTTTTGTACAAGATTCATTTGTGCGAGTAATTTGTGCTTGCACGAGTTCAACTTGAGTGGAAGACCGCCCATATGGTGACGAAGACCGGTCAAGAAGTGTGCGCAGCTTCGTCCGCTTTATACCATCATCATTGGGAAAATTATTATTAGGGCACGAATATCGACTTGCGTTACGTCCCTTAGGCCGAGACGCCAGACCGCAGCACTATCATCATAAAGATGACTGCACCAGCACTTTTGCGGGTACAGAGGTGTCGTCTACAGTTGAAGTCAATTTTGATCACCCTATTATCCCAAGGACTAAATTATCGACATTTCACGCTATTGTGCTGTTAATGCGAATGTGAGTTTTCCGTGGAATTAACAACGGCCACTGGCACGAAGATTCACTAGCCGAATTTCGTGTTCCCTGGGGTTTCCGACCCGAATACGATGCTATTTTAGTGATATGGGAGGCGCCATGCAAGGAACTACGGATAAGTCAGCTGACACTTCGCACCTCATTGTTTCTGTTTACAAGAGTCCAGAATGGCGATGAGATTAAGTGTAGCCTATCATACGTTAACACAGCTATATAGCCACCGTCCTCCCGAAATTAATGAACTTTCGCCTCGTTGATTCACCATTGCGCAAAACACCAACTCGATACGATGAGATTTTGTAGCTGGGTTCCTTCAATTTTGGAGCATTAGTTGAAACGACTGGACGCCGACACGATGCATACCATCACCCATATAGCCATACGGAAGAGAGCGTTCTTGCTGCGCGAAGTCTGCACTGCCATTAAACCAAGCCCTTTGAAGGATCCTGAGGATGAATATTTTCATCCAATGAGCTTTAATTGACGTTGTTCCTGCCTGGCGATGAAGCAGCTTCAAATGCCGGTAAAGGTGGTGTCGGCATTGTTTTGAGTCCCCGGGCTGAAGCTGCTCTGATCGAATTCAAGTACCTGGACAGCTACATTAGCACCCGTGGGCTCGAAGATGAGGTTACGAACCGTAAAGCCAAAGTTTGAGGTGCTTTTCCCAATCTCCGCCACCTGTTGCGCAGACGCGACATTACTCTCGCCCTGAAGGGCAGAGTTTATAGTGCAGCCGTCCGTTCAACCCTCTTACATGGTTGTGAAACTTGGCCCATCGAGTCGACAGAAATAAAGATGCTAGCCACGTTCGATCATCGCTGCCTCCACAGCTTAGCTCATGTCTGGTGGGAGCATCGCGTAAGCAATGAGCGTGTTCGGCGTCGCGTATTTGGTGCAGGAAGAGCGAGTGAACCGCTCAGCACCATTATAACGCACCACACTCCGATGGCTGCGTCACTTGTTGCGCATGCCAGCACACCGACTCCCGCGACATGCATTGTTTGCGCACCGCGAGTGTGGTTGGAAGAGGAGGAGGGGAGACCAAGCGATGATTTGGTCGAGAGGAATGAAAACCGTCACTTCGAAACTGGTGTCGGCTGGTGAATCCCGACTGCCTGGCTGGGTTCCTAAGGACGATAAACACGTTTGGTTGGACACACTTGGTGATATGGCTAGGAGCCGGCCCCAATGGCGTTTGTGTTGTGAGTTACTTTGTGCATCCCCCTCCTGCTTAGCCTTCCCCTTTAGTCAAGCTCTCATTCGTTAGACATAATATAACTCTCTTTTTGCGGCATGATAGCCGGCTGTTAGCTCTCCGGAACGATGTCCATCCGTTACTGGGGACTCAGTCGGCGTGCCTCTGTTGATTCTTTCTTCTTGTCTTTTGTATTGCGGCACAATAGCTGAGGTGTTTTCCACCTGCATCTAACGCGTATAATGATGATGATGGAGCTCACACGAACACACATTTCCCTTCCGGTTAAAAAACCGAAATCCATTTCAAGCTTGGCCCCGAGATACCATAAGTCTGTAACTTGAACACAAGGCGAGAGTGCGGAACATTGTCAAAAGCATTGGACGAGTCGATGAACAGTACGTCCAGAGCTTTTGCTTGATCAACCGCATCGGCCCAGTGTTCGCGGGCAACTAACAACTTGGTAAGACAAGAATATCCCTTACGAAAAACGTGTTGGGAGGGGCTGAGCAACTCAAACGCCCTTAAATGGCTTTCAAGGACATCCCTCGCAACTTTTTCCAACAGCTTGACCGACACGCTGGTTAGGCTAACAAGTCTATACTTCTCAGGAAGATGTTTGTCACCCTTCTTAAAAATCGGGCATACAACAGCGTTTTTCCAGTCGTCAGGTAGAGAACAGCTGCGCAGTGACTTCTCAAACAGTCGCGTAATTGGACAGCAAAGTTCGTCTGCCAACTCATACAACAGTTTGGGGTGGATAGCGTCCAACCCTGCTGTCTTAGTAGGATTTAGTTCTCGTAGTAGCTTGGGCACTTTGGCATCCGATATGGAAACCGCCTCCAGATAAGCGTCTACAGCAACCTTAACTTCCAAACTAATGCTCGGCAGGTATACTGTTCCCCAAGCAAGGAAACCTTGTCAAGATCAGTGACAGCAGCAGAGCCGTCTGGACCGAACAGCACCGGGATGGACGTGCTCATGTTGCCTCGCCTTTTAATATAAGCAAAGAAGCGTTTTGGGTTTGATGAGGATGTACGTGCAAGCTCGATTTCATGTTGTAACCGAGCACGTCACAGATACTGTCTGCATGCGTTTCGAACTTCTCCGGAGGAGCAGACACATAGGCACGCCAACATTTGGTCCGCCTCTTAAGCAGCTTTCTCGCCTCAGAATCAAACCAGGGTGGCCTGGCTTCAGTTTTATTCCTGACAGAAACCGGTATGTGAGGTAGGGACAACTCAGATAAATAGGCCTTGAACGTGTCCCAGGCTGCCTGAATATTATTGGTGTCTGAAATGACAAAAGCTGAGATGGCGATCTTTGCTTTCATTGCTTGAAAATCGGTACGCCATATGTTTGGACTTCGGATGGTGAAGCCATTGGATACACGGTTGAGAGCACATTTCAAGGACATGCATGCATGGTCACTAACACCTAGAGGTGAATCGTATTCAATGTCTCTGACGCAGTCCATTGACTTGGCGAAGACCAGATCTAAGAGTGACGGTACTTGACCCACCATGAACCTGGTTGGCCGGTCAATAAATTGATATAAGGGAACATGCAGGGCTAGGTCTAGAAGTTCAAGAGCTAAGCTTCCTGAAGCAGCATCACAGGTGAAATTTTACCATTCAACATTTGAAAGATTGAAGTCCCCTATCACTAAACATCTATTTGTCGAGTGGATGCAATCAATTAGACCCCTTGCAAAACTATCCGGGCTTCTCTAAACAAGCATAACTTTAAGTTGTGTATGGGAAATACGCAAATTAACCGTGAGCGTTATGATGGAACTCTGGGAAACGGAATGTATGCGTTTTGAAAATGGTTAACGCTAACATACAAAGCAACGCCGCCTCAGTGATGAGCAGAAGCGCGGACACACCTCAGCAGTGCGTACCGTCTGTGACATCGTCAGACAACCACGTCTCAGTGAACGCGAGAATATCTGGACGACAGTCATGGACCATGGGGCCGACCTCGCACAACTTGTTTCGCAGGCTACGCACATTGCTGAAGATCACCTGAAAGAATCAGGTGTCCTGAGCCTCGGGTCGTGTGCTACTAGAACGGGCGTCGGTAGGACGGAAATGGATCGTTGGCTTACCACCCGAAAACCCATTAAATGGATACCCATTTCCCCCCGCTTCTCAACGGGCTTTAAAGTTTCTAACAACTTCCCTCAATTTCAACCTATCCGCCAGAGGAAGGTCTGATTGCACAACGATACCAGTGCCCCTGAGTTTAAAGGGGAATCGCAGCAGCGCCTGTTCCTTTGGTGTGGACAGAACAACCCAGTAGGCGAGCTCGAAGGTTGAATCCGTCGACTGGCAAACTACCGAGTCTAGTAAGTTTTCGCACAGTAACCCCGGCGGCAGTAGCTTAGTAACGCAAACTTTGAACCACTGAAAGTCATCTAGCATACGATCTCTTGGGAGAGCAGAAGAGGACTCACTGGCATTCCTGAAAATAACACTACAATCGGTGTACATGTCACCGCGGCTCGGAGTATTTACAGCATGCGACACGGCTACAACTGCTTATGCTTTCGCATCAAGTATCATAGACTCCACGGTCGTACTAGACTACCTGCGAAGATGGGACGGTAATAGTTGATTTGGGGGGCAATGAACATGGAGGAAGAGAAGTATGCTCTCTATCTGCCTTTGAATTAGCCATCTTCTTCCCCGCGTCCGCCTTTTACTGACGATCTCAGTCTTCGCTTCACCTTTAACAGCTGAGTCAAAGACGCTATCCGAGTGCTTAATATTATCTGGCACATTATTTGTAGGCTGAGAACCTGTCGTGGTTTCCGGGACAGCCAAACTACCCGGATCCCTCATTATATCCTTACTGAGTAAGCCTGAACTATCCAGGCGCTTCACAATGCAATCAACTTTTCTGTTTGGAGAAGTCAACAGAGACAGGCTATCCAGAGAGACATGACTGTCATTTGCTAGTGAGCAGCGCTCAGCCTTACATTTTGAGCAATCGTTACAGCTGTAGAGAAAATTCTCGTGGCTTCCGACCCAAGCCAGTACATGACTCATGGAACCACCGCTTACAGATGTCACACTGCATGCCTCCAGACTAGTCGGCAACTGCTTTGAGACATCCCGCTTCGTCACATATAACCATCGAGTCAACGGGAAGAAGACCCCGGGGATCCAGTCAAGCTCTTTCGGACCATCGTAACAGAAGGGAACCAAAGAGAAGGGAGAATCAAGCAAATATGAGAAGAAAAGGAATCGTAAACTGGTTGACGGTAACCAACTATGCAGTCTACGAGAGCGTTAGTAGGAATGACCAGGAGTGACATTTGTACTGATGTGGACTCACTCGATCGCACAAGATGGGAGCTGGTAGTTGAGGGCTGTTGGCGGCGAGTCTTCTAAAGCCAAATGTTCAGTTCAGTATTATTAAAACGCCGTATCCACCAAAGTTTTGGTAACACAAAAATGAACAACCGAAATTGCTTTTGTTCTTGTCTCACTTCTTTGGCGGAAGCAAGGAGAGCAATTCGACGTCGAAATGCCAGGAGCCCTGGTTTGCTTGCCTGTACAAGAAGCAGAACGTTCGTTAGACGGAGGCTTACACCATCCTTGGAGCCTGATCTGACCTTGTATATCAGTCCAGTATTTTGTGTACTTTCCTTTCAAATACGCGCGCTCACTAAGAAACAGTCTGGCTTCCATCAAGCCTCGCTTTTTCATTTAGATTTCAAACATCCCAATGTAGTTTTCTCCTATTTTTTCCGTCGATGTGCGTGTTTATCCCTAGCAAACGAGAAAGATTAACTAAATTTCGCAATGGATCTATCTTCATGCCTATGTTGGTTTGATGCTTTGTTGTCCGTGCCATTATGTGCCGATGTCGAGCCGGTTTCAGTCGACGGAGCAGCCGCTCATATTCCAACCAAGACTAGGGTTGAGCTGAACGCTGAACTAATCGAAAAAAGATAGTTGTCACTTCTCCCTTGACTGACTGTCCGTGGGCTTTTTACTCCGTCGAATATCCTATGTACCTTATGCCGCGTGGCCGTTCTTTGTCACTGTGGCTATTCCTGGCCTATACACAGGCAATTGATACCTTGATATATTTCACTCCCATCACCAGATCCTTAGTATGTTTGGACTTTTTTTTAGTGTTCTAATGCAGTGTTGAGACATAAATCTCGGGGCTTAGAGCTTTGGGCGATTTTAATCGATAAGAAGTATTTCGAACGTCTGGAAAATCAATTTCTCTTCTCCGGCTACTTGCTAGAGTAAGGACCCTGTCCCAGCTGAATCCTATGGGCTGGCTCGCTGCATTATTTGTAGCCTAGCCGTAACTTATCAGTTGAACTTAGTGAGGTGTCGAATGCTCTGTTTGCTAGCAGACAACACTGAACAAAGAAAACATCAGGAAACTAGTCTAAACATTGTTAGACCCCATCGTTTGGAGGCATGCCAGAAAAGATATGCGAATACACGGAGAATGGGTACCCTCGCGATGGATTAGCAGCTTACCGTTGAACCTGCATCGGACCACACTCAGCTTTCCCTGCTGTGCTCCTGGACGTAATCTTGGAAGTTTACACCGAGCAGATCGTTTCCTTTTGGCCAAATCAAAGAAGCGAGTTTCTGGGACTATCGCTCTGGAGCACAGCCAGACTGAAGATCTTGGTTTGAACAACAGCAATTCCGCGTCACCTGCGAAACTTTCCAATGAGGAGCTTAGTCAGATTAACAGTTTTATCGATCGCCTTTGGCAGATGCGAGATAAAAATGGAAAGAACATCATGCTCACTGAAGAAGAGATGACGGGCTTGTGTCAAAAATCTAGGCCTTTGTTTTTAAATCAGCCTAATGTTCTAGATTTGCAGGGACCGCTAAAGATATGCGGAGATGTCCATGGTCAGTACAGCGACTTGCTACACATTTTCGAATTATGCGGCAAACCAGATAAGATCAATTACCTTTTTCTTGGAGACTATGTGGACCGAGGACGTCACAGCTTAGAAACCATCTCTCTGCTACTGTGTTATAAGTTGAAATACCCTTGTCGTTTTTTCTTGCTGCGTGGAAACCATGAAACACAGTCGGTGACTCGCATCTACGGATTCTTTGATGAATGTAAACGGAGATTTTCAGTGAAGTTGTGGAGGCAGTTTGTGGACACTTTCAACTGTTTGCCAGTTTGTGCAATTATAGAGAATCAAATTTTCTGCTGCCACGGTGGATTATCACCCGAAATGCTGACTCCTGAAGTTACGGATCTTTTCGAATTGAAGCAGAAAATTAAGAGAATACAAAGGCCATGTGATGTCCCGGAATGTGGCTTACTTTGTGATCTATTGTGGTCCGATCCGTGGTATATCGATGTAACAGAGAAAGGCACTGAGCCGAGCGGCTGGGAGCCAAGTGAAAGGGGAGTATCGTTTATGTTCGGCCCTAACGTGATCGACCAATTCCTAGAGAGGTTCAACCTCGATCTGATCGTACGTGCTCACCAAGTTGTGGAAGATGGATACGAATTTTACGCGAATCGATCCCTTGTTACAGTGTTCTCTGCACCAAATTACTGCGGCGAATTCGATAACGCGGCCGCGGTATTTTGTTTGTCTCGTCTGACAACAAATTTAGAAAGCTTGCAACCTACTCATTCCAACTTGATCACAGATGAAGAAGAAATGCCTCACGATGAGGCCGACTTAGAGGGTAGCTTTCAAATTATCAGGTCTGTTGCAACTAAAAAGTGAGCTTCTGCTCTGCGTTGACGGTCCATTCAAGTTTCTTGCAGCTGCTTTGCGATCTGTTAATCCCACAACAATCGACTCTTTCTGTACACGTCACTTTCATTTGGGTAAATAACCCTTTTCAACCTATACCTAAGCTTTTCCCATAATAAGGGGTTAGTTGAGAAGTCAGAATATCAATATTGATTAGTGTATTACTTAGTGGAAACGTTGGGCAGCTTTCAGTGCTGCGCGCACACCCAAGAGCAATGAAAACACTTCAGTTGCTTTGTGAATGGGCCTATAACGATTGCTGCTCAAGCAACCTAACCACTTGTCCTCTTTCCCTCTGTTTGCACTTTTCAAGCCCACTTTCGTTAAGGCCCTCAAGTATTCAGCTCCTGTGCTCTGGTTTATCGTTTGTCTTTGTTTAGACCCATGTAGGAAATATGGATCCACGCTCTGTCCCCATCACTCCGTCGATAAGCTACAGAGAAGCATTGTGACTTGGTTTACGAAGTAGTATCGAGTTCCTATTTCCCCTTGAGCTAATATATCTCCTGGGGCATGGTGAAATGTAAATTTGTATTCGCACAGCGCCACCTCCAACAGCCCCTGTCGGAACTGACACTATATCAAGCTTGCTGTCAGGAATCAAACAACAGACCTGCTACTGCCAATCTAAGCATGTGTGCCGCCATGATCCCGGTGACGAAGCAGAGCAATAACTACAGATGGTCACTTAGCGACAACAACCGCGTCTCCACCAATCGAAGCGCAAGGTTGCTGATAGAATTTGCACACTGTTTGCTCATGAGATGATGTGGCCAACTCGGTGTACGTCTTGAGAGTGGTGGGAGAGCAATCGCTCCAAGTGAATGACACCGCTCCCCATCTCTTGCCTTAACCTTTGGAACAAAGCCCCACTACGCAACCGCATGTTGTCCACCTGATATTAAAACTTAGTTCTTTAGGGTTAAACGGTTTATTGTCAGGAAACGAAAGAACCTAGCATACCACGTCCTGACACGGCCTTCATCTGTATTGTCCAACCAGTACCATTACGCACTACTCAGTTCCACCAGTAGCGTCCCCTTTACTTCAGTTATGCAGTCGGCAAGCTTGCTCGTATCACCGGATCTCGTTGTAGCAGTAGCCAAGGCTGCTCGGCTGGCATTGGAATTACTAGTAGGTCTCGCTGGTATGCGTGCCACATCCATATTTTCGTACCCTACTGTCGAAGCTTGTTCGCCCAGCTTACGTTTTATCGCTGCTTGTTATCTTCGGTTGTCCTTCTGTTGTAACCCCATCGCCGCACACTACAGAATACCTCGTGTCTAGTTCGACTTGTCATCGGTTTCTTCTCAGCTGCACGCGGTTGCTTCTGATTACCTTTCCTTAAAAGCTGACTTCGGATGCTCTTTTTACGAACCTCGCGGTCACCACGCCATTCTGCCATCGGTCATGGACACCGGGTATCAAATGAACCAACACACACACACACGATGTCAGCTCAGGTAATTCCCTGGCGCCTCAGTTGTAGTGCTGTTTTTGATTAACCAACGGTCTCTGTAGACGATTTTGCAGTTGCTCTTGTGCTGATGAAACGTGGCGCAGAAGTATAGCTGATGAGGGCATCCGAGTTCCCTTTCTGCAGTCCATGCGCTGCACTTCGATTAGACCAATATCCGAAGATGGGGTTTTCAAGTGGCTCGGAGATTTGGTAGCAACTTTGTGGCTAGCCGTACTGACGCTTCGATCTTTCCATCTGACCATCACTATTACGCGGGTTTTTCTATAGGTAAACTCACTTGATTGCGAAAGGTTGAAATGCGGCACGGTCTAATTGCAATTCATTTTCGGTGACCACTTCCCCCGGCATCCCGTACCGGGCAAACTGACGCCTTAGTTTGTTCACTACAGTTTCCATATTGAGTAGATCTATTTCGAAATAACCACTGTAGTCATCGACTGTAAGTAAGCAATCTTCCTTAGTTTCACAAAATAGATCCACCGCCACTTTCTACCACGGTTGGTCTCACACATAATGTGACATCGCCGGTTCTCTGGACTGGTGAATATCATAAGAACAGCAGGCTGAATTTGCTACATATTTGGCCAGAACATCAGTCACCTTTCGCTGTTAACTAACTCCTATGTGGACGCAATGAGCATGTTCCATTATGTCCCTGCGTATGGAGATTGGAATTAGACTACGATTTCTCTTGTATATCAAGCTGCCGTAGTTAATTCATTCATCCCGGAATTTGAAATAAGGATCACATATCTCAAAGCCACACATTTTGCATCTGTTTCTGTTCGTCGCCTCAATTTTTCCAGGCATTCATCTGTCAATGCCAGGTGGTGCATCAGGTTCACTGCTTCCGTATCATTCTGACGTTGTACGGCCTCCGGCATCCGCAATCAACACCTGTTTACCTGGCGTGTATACGATATCTAGGTTACAATTCTGAAGTCGGATACACAAACATCGCAGATGTCGTGGGGCGTCATGTAACGGATAACTGACGATAAACACGAGCAGTTTGTCGTCCGTGTACACAGTAGTCTTTCTCCCAAACACGAAGTCGTTGGAATGCTCCATCGCATAAACCACCGCGGGCATCTCCTTTCCAATTTGTGCAAATAGCTGTTCAGTTGATGTGAGGGCAGGACCGTTGATGTCCAGGAATTTTCGTCTTACGTTAGCACGGCACCTATTCCGCTTTGTCTACTATCCTACTGTACCAGCAGAGGTCGCGACAGATCGTAATAGCCGAGCACTGGCGCTTTACTGAGAAAATATTTGACGATCGCGAAAGCAGTCTCCTGCTCCATCTCCACTTCACTCCTTTATGAGTCAGTCTGCGGGTTGCAGTCATGACATCGGCAATTCTTGCAAAAACGGCTCAGATAGTTAACTGTACCGTTCAAACAATTAACTGCCTTCAAATCTTCTGGAGGTTGCTTCTCGCATCGCATCAACCTTTCCGAAATCGACCTTGATTTCTTCGGGCATAAGGATGTTCCCATGAAAAGTCACTTCCCGTAACCGAAGCTTAACTTCTCACACTTGAGCTTCGTGTTCTTTTGAACGCACCGCTGCAAGTAACGGTAGAGATTTACATCATCTTACACTTCGGATGCACGGTAAATCAACGCATCCTGCAAAGCAAGTTACACCACTGGAATCTTTAAGTTAGCAAGAAAGAACAACATAAAGTGATGCTACTACGTAGCTGAGTTCAAACTGTTACAACAGACCTTGAATCCAGCTTGGACAGGAATAACTCTCAGGTTACCTTCTCATGTGTTTACCAATTTACCTGTACTTGCGGTAGCACCTAAATTGGCCTAGACAAGGGAAGACTATCGATTAGGATCATGGAAAACGTTCCACGGAACTGCAACAAATGACCCTAAGCTTCTTATCGGTTCGATCGCCCAGCAGCTGCTTGAGTGCAGCTTGTGCGAAAACCCTCGTAATGAATTCAAGGTTCTCAACATGCAGAACACTTCGAGTTTACATCGATTTGCTGAGGCTTGCGCCATCCGGGAATAAAACCAAACCTCTGCAGACAGCTCGACTTCGTGGCGAGCCTCGCCTTACTCTGTAAGGCGTGGTTTGCATCATTGCAAGCGATGACCTTGAACTTCTAGTTGTCCTATTGATTCCCTTATTCATCCACATTTCATTTTCACTTTTTAGTCCTTCCAATGTTTGTTTGTACACGGCTGATTGAGAAGGCACGAAATAATCTGAATTCAGTGTATCCCGCTCAAGTGCTGTTAGTTTTTGTTACCCTAAGTGTTTGCAGAAAAGGGCTACATGAAAATGTTGCAATGGTCTACCTCCCGCATCAGTCGTTTGAGTTACAGCCCACTTTGAATTTCTAGGACATATGGTAAACGTAAAGATTGAGAACAACCGTCAAGTGCAGCAAATCCTCAGAAACTGGACTCCTCATCTAGGGTCACGTAGTAAAACGCGGACAGATTTGTCATCGTTGAATAGTGCTAGCTAGACGTAGTAGGACATCTTCCATTGCAGGAAACGTATAATGCCCTCTACGCGTCTTTTCGTTCAACAGTTTTGAGTCGATGCACGCTGCCCGCCAGTCTTCTTTGTGACGATTCCAACTTGACTGATTCAGTCTGTTGATTCATCGTCTCCTTGATTTACTCAGTTCGGCAGAAAAGTAATCACGCAACGCAAATAGAACCCTTCTAGCCGGTAGTGCAACTGATGGTACTGATGGGGTCTATCGACAAATGAGCGGCACCTCCCCAGACCTGGACTAAACACATACGGATACTGGTCACTAACACTGATTCATCCCTGACAAGGATGCACAAATCCTTCAATGTCAAAATTAACAAGACCAAAAGACTGAATTAAATTAATGCGGTAAATCAGCGTGAGCCCCACTTCAATTACCACAAACTTCAGTTGATGTGAAGCTCCTTCCTTTAGATTCACTATTTCGATTGTAGCTAAGCCTTTTGAATCAGATACACACACTGAGATAGTACTTTCTGGGTAGAATCTTGATCGTAGCACCGTTCTCTAACTGGAACCGTACGACTCCCTCTTCGATCGAAAGACTTCTGAGACCCCTACCGATCACGTTGCTAATTGAATTTTCTTAATCTGCGGGAAACCTGTCACTGACTAGTGCGTTCGCATTGGCCAACTGAAAGCAACGAACAGTGCTTTCTTTTTCCACATTCAACGCATTTTAATCCCCACGCCGAAAACTTTTTGTGACTTTTGGTGTGTCGCGCAGCACAAAACCTGCAAATCCCCTGTCTCATTTGTGTCGTTTTTGTGGTTTTGCTATCCGAAATCGCACACAATTCTGCATCAGTCGTGAGTCTCATTTGCTGGCAATGATATTCTGCATATGTTGATAACGGTTTCAGCGATAAGCCGCGTTATCACAAAAGCTATTTGACCGTACTTTCGTCAGTGGTTCGTAGGACAGTTCGGTCACGTATGAGACTATCGGCCGTACGTTTACGGAAACCGCATGATCGCACCAAAATACTTCACTCAGTTGCGTATGTATCGACGGATTCATTCGGATGTCCACTAAGCGAAAAATAATGCTAGCACTAATAGGTCTCCTTGGTTTGGCCTTCGCAAAAT